TTCCAAATGGTGGATTGGGAGTATATCTGCATGATCGTGAATTTACCTTAGAGGTTTAGGGATAACCTTAATGTTGTCAGAAATTCCCTAAAAAGGACGATTAATCCCGGTTACGGTTACTATAATGATTGTTGAAATTTAGGAAATTGAGGTGTTGTTTTGAATTATACAAACTCGATGTTGTTAGGTACTGAAATGCGCATTTAGCCGGCATTTTCCCGCGTTTGGCTGCTGTTCTGAGCTGCTGCAGGTTCAGGAAAATCCTGTACGCGCTCAGCAACACGGGCCGTGTTGCACAACACGGGCACCCGTGTTGCTCTTCTGTGTTGGGAGATGGTGTGCTTCTGGTTGCACAACACGGGCCGTGTTGCACAACACGGGTACCCGTGTTAGGTCCCCTGTAATGAGAAAAAGAAAATGTGTGTTTTCTGGACGCGTTCAGCAACACGGGCCGTGTTGCACAACACGGGTACCCGTGTTGCTCTGCTGTGTTGATTTTTCTGAATTTTGTTTTTGTGCGTTATTGTGGATTTTATTGTCGTGCTTTTGGATAATGTTATCGAGCATGAATTATGATATGACTTGATATGATTGATGTTTAAATAGTATGCTGAGTGATTACATGCTATCCATATCTTGTTATGATTTGATGTTGTTGATGTTGCATGATATGTTGATTGATGTTCATAGTATGCTGAGTGTTACATACTTACATATCATGTTGCATTTGTTAATTCCCATTGTGTGGAATTAACATGGTGGCCAATATACGTGTCCGCGATTTAATGGAACGTTGAGGTGGTAGCCGTGTCCGCGATATAATGGAACGGTGAGTTATCCGTGACCCGAGATTTAATGGGGCGGTAAAGTGGTACCACATGCATGGGTGTGTTGCATTACCTTGAATATAACATGAATGGATGATTTTTCCAATGTTGTATTTGATTGTTGTATGCACGTATGGTTGCTAAATGGTTGACGATGTTTGACGTTAATTGCAAATATGAAAAGCAATATATTATGGGTATATGAATTGTAAAGGTTTTTGTAAACTATGAAATATGCTAATTATTGGGTGATGCTTATGATTTCCTGAATTGATTGTTATGAACGTATAATCAAATATATAATTGAGATGCTCACCCTTACTGTTGAATATTTCAGATTGAGGAGCTTCGTTCAGGTGCTTGGCGAAGGCTTGTCGTTCTAGTTTATTTCCGTTTTAGTATTGTCCGGGTCATGCTCTGATAGTTGTAACTCCGGGAACGTTTGTTTGTCGAGCTGCTTTAATCAGACTCGTTTAATTTCCTTATGTTTTGTTATAATATGATGTTGACATTTTCCAGGTGTTAATCCCTGATGATTTTGAAAATATTATAACATTGGTTTTATTAAATAAATTATTCCGCTGTGTAAACATGTATGAGTTACTACTAAGATTATGCATGACAGGAATTTGTGTTATTTAAAGAGAATTGTAGCATCCTCGATTATACATGTACTCTGAAATTATGATTTTTATAATTGCGAAAATTTTATTCGGGGTTTTTAGAGGGTGTTACAGATTTCTTCTTCGAGCACACCATTCAAAAATGTTGTCTTGACATCCATTTGAAATATTGGCCATTTGAATTGAGCAGCTTGAGAGATGAGTAATCGAATTGTATCCATTCTTGCAACAGGCGCAAACACTTCGTCATAGTCAATTCTTGCTTTCTGTTTGTATCCCTTTGCAACCATTCTCCTTGAGCATTCATCTTTTTCTTGAATACCCACTTTACACCAATGGGTTGACTACCTTTTGGCAATTCGACTAGCTCCCAAGTGTTGTTGCGTTCAATTGCTCTAATCTCTTCGTCCATGGCACTTTTCCACTTCTTGTCTCGTAACGCTTCTTCGACACTGATGTTTTCAGCATCTGCCAGAAGGCACACAAGATGCACCTCACTTGTTGAATCATATAAGTCTTGCAAACCTCTCATTTTGGGTTGTAGAGGTTCATCTTCATCTTCAGTTTCTTCATGTTCTGTTGGAATACTTGTTGGTATAACTACAATTGTTTCTTCGACTGCGTCAATAACCTCTGTCGAATTGTTCCAGTCCCACTTGATTGTTTCGTTCATTCGAACGTCTCTACTCATGATCACTTTCTTGCTTATGGGATCGAAGAGCTTGTACCCTTTCGTCTTCTCATCATATCCAATGAATATGTACTTTTGACTTTTGTCTTCAAGCTTTGTTCTTTGTTGATCTGGTACATGTGCATAAGCTATACTACCAAATACCTTGAGATGAGAAACTGTTGGCTTCTGTCTACTCCATTCTTCTTGTGGTGTTTTGTCTTCTAACTTCGAATGTGGACATCTATTCTGAACATAAACAACACATTGTACTGCTTCTGCCCAGAATTCTTTCGACATGTTCTTGCTTTTGAGCATTGATCGAATCATGTCAAGAATAGTTCGATTCTTCCTTTCAGCCATACCATTTTGCTGAGGTGAATATGGTGCAGTTAGGAATCTCCTTATGCCCTGTTCTTCACAGTAGTTCACAAAGGCCATCGAAGTATACTCACCTCCTATGTCAGATCGAATTGCTTTGATGTGTCTGTCTGTTACCTTCTCCACCATTACTTTGAACTTTTTGAACACCTCTAATGCTTCAGATTTTTATTTCAGGAAGTAAACCCAGGTTTTTCTTGAGAAGTCATCAATAAAAGAAATGAAGTACCTTTTTCCACTGAAGGATTCTGGAGTGATTGGCCCACATATGTCAGTATGTATCAATTCGAGAATATGTTTAGCTTGATACTCGGCCTTCTTTTGAAATGAGGTTCTTGTTTGTTTTCTAAGCACACATTCTTCACAGAACTTTCCTTCGAAATCCATGTCTGGTAGTCCATGCACCATGTTCCTTTTTGCCAACCTTCTCAAACCAGCATGATGTAGATGACCAAAGCGCATATGCCATAGTGACGCTTTGTCTTGTACTTCGATTTGCAGACATTTCTCTTGAATGTTCCTCAGATTCAGTTTGTACATTCGATTTCTTTCCATTTCGACACGGGAAATCAGATGTCCTATTTTGTCCTTCAAATGCAGTGTTCGATCTTTCATAAGTATCGAAGCACCTTTTTCTGTAAGTTGTCCCAGACTCAATATGTTGGTCTTGAGATCTGGTACATAGTAAATGTCTTCGATTGATCCAATCAAGCCATCCTTCTGCAAGTAACTGATTGTGCCCTTTCCTTCGACCTTCACTTTTGATGCATCTCCAAAAGACACATTGCCATCTTCAATTCTCTTCATATCTTTAAACAGGTGTTTGTAACCACACATGTGATTACTTGCTCCTGAGTCAAGATACCAAACATTGTCATTATTGGTGTTGATTTCGTTTTGAGCCATCAGGAGAAAGCCTTCATTCGATTCAGCTTCCAAGGCTAGGTTGGTTGTTTCTTCAATCTTCTTTTCGACTCGACAGTCTTTTGCAAGATGTCCCACTTTGTCACAGTTGTAACATTTGTAGGAGTTGCAATCCTTCGCGTAATGACCATACTTCTCACACTTGTAGCATTCGAAGTTGGAATGATTCGAACGACCACCTCTTTAACCACGTCCTCTGCCACGCTAATTTTGTTGGCTCGATTGTCCTCTTTCGAAGTTGCTACCTCTACCACTTCGAACACTGTCACGACCTCCATGTCCACGTCCTCTTCCTCGAAAGTTTTGAGAAAAGAGTACCTTTTCGTCTTTGTTCGATTCCTTGGTTTGATTTGCTTTTTCGACTGCTTCTTCTTTCTTTTTCATCTTTCGTTGTTCATGTGCTTCGAGAGAACCAGCGAGCTCTTCGACTGAGAGCGTCGAAAGGTTCTTCGACTCTTCTATTGCACACACAATATTCTCAAACTTGTCTGTTAAAGATATCACGATCTTTTCAACAACTCGTGCATCAGTTACTGTCTCTCCATTTATGGTGATTTGATTCACCACCTTTTGTACACGTGTGATGTAGTCAGATACAATTTATGTATCCTTCATCTGTATCCTCTCTAATTCGCCACGAAGAGTTTGGAGTCGAACTTGCTTCACTCGATCTGCTCCTTTGAACACTCTTTCTAACGTGTCCCACGCTTGTTTCGACGTAGTCGAACCAGCAATATTTTCGAAGCCTGATTCATCTACAGCCCTGAACAACATGTATAATGTCATTTTGTCCTTCGATCGCGTCTCTTTCAACGCCTTTGTTTGAGCTGTCGTATATCCCCCAACTTCTGTTGGTTCTTCAAACTCTTCATGGGTCACATCCCACGCGTCTAGAGATCCAAGAAGAACTTTCATTTGGATACTCTAGTTTTCATAATTTGACTTCGTTAGCCGTGACAACGGCATTTGATTAATCATGTTTGCCATGAGCTCTGATGCCAAATTGATATAAAAAAAGCAGACTTCGATTTGTCTTATTATTTTTTTTTTTTGAGAAAGAGACAAACCTTTTTATATTACATTTTCTAAATAGAATACACTCTTGATCTTTATATAGACCCAATGACTTTTACAATTCATAAAAAATAACTGCTACTAATAAAAACTATCATAACTTACTAACTTTTGACCTTCCAAATTATATTGATTCTTAATCTTCTTACTACCATATTTAATATGAAAATTTATTACTAATAATATTAAAGTTTAGTCAACAAGGACTCCCCCATAGAAAATACAGCTTATAGCTTTTTCGTAAGGAAAATATTACTTATAGTTTATAATAATGTTTAGTTGCATTGCATATGCACTTACGTCACCATGCATGTACTCTATTATGTTTAATGTTGCTAACAGTCAAAGTACTGAACAAAGAGAATACAACTTTTGCCTCTCATGACATACCAAATTGACTACTACTTTCTATTTGTTCCTATATATAAACACGTATTTATGATTATAATCTTAAATACAGAAAAATCAGATACAACTTTTCACAAACTTGTGACTCAAACAATGTCAAAAACAACTCACATAGCAGTTATTCCAAGTCCTGGTTTCAGTCACTTAGTCCCAATAGTAGAATTCTCCAAAAGATTAGTCACAAACCACCCAAATTTTCACATCACTTGCATCATTCCCTCACTTGGGTCTCTACCTGATTCCTCAAAATCATACCTTGAAACAATTCCACCAAACATAAACTCCATCTTTCTCCCACCAATCAACAAACAAGACTTACCTCAAGGAGCATACCCTGCAATCCTAATTCAACAAACTGTAACACTCTCTCTACCATCAATCCATCAAGCCTTAAAATCCTTGACCTCAAAAGCACCTTTAGTTGCTATAATTGCTGATGCTTTTGCATTTGAAGCACTAGATTTCGCAAAAGAGTTCAATTCTTTGTCTTTTCTTTACTTCCCTTGTTCGGCTTTTGTACTTTCACATGTTTTACACTTTCCAAAACTTGATCAAGAGGTTTCATGTGAATACAAAGATTTACAAGAACCTATAAAGTTACAAGGGTGTGTACCAATCAATGGTATTGATCTTCCAACACCAACACAAAATAGGTCAAGTGAAGCTTACAAAATGTATCTTCAGCGTGCAAAACACTTGCATTTTGTTGATGGAATCCTTTTTAATAGCTTCTTTGAATTGGAATCAAGTGTTATAGAAGCATTGGAACAAACGGGTCATGGAAAAATCAGTTTTTTTCCTGTGGGACCCATTACACAGATAGGGTCATCTAATAGTAATGATGTTGATGATGAATTTGAATGTTTGAAATGGTTGAAAAAACAACCACAGAATTCTGTTTTGTATGTTTCTTTTGGAAGTGGTGGAACACTCTCTCAAAAGCAAATCAATGAGCTAGCTTTTGGTTTGGAGTTGAGTGGTCAAAGATTCATTTGGGTTGTGAGAGCACCAAGTGATTCAGTTAATGCTGCTTATCTTGAAACTACAAATGAGGATCCTTTGAAATTTCTACCACAAGGATTTTTGGAAAGAACCAAAGAAAAAGGTTTGATTTTGCCATCATGGGCACCTCAAGTTGAAATACTTAAGCAAAATTCAGTTGGTGGATTTTTAAGTCATTGCGGTTGGAATTCGATTTTGGAGAGTATACAAGAGGGGGTGCCAATAGTAGCTTGGCCTTTATTTGCAGAACAAGCCATGAACGCTGTTATGTTAAGTGATGGTCTTAAAGTGGCACTGAGGTTGAAATTTGAAGATGGTGAAATTGTTGAAAAGGAAGAAATTGCAAAGGTGATTAAGTGTGTCATGGAAGGAGAAGAAGGGAAAGGAATGCGGGAAAGAATGAAGAAATTAAAAGATTCTGCTGTTAATGCACTGAAATATGATGGTTCTTCGGTACAGACTTTGTCTCAGTTGGCTAAGAAATTGGAAATTTTTGGTGGGATATAGAAAAACAAATATTGTTCTGATTTCATATAAATTGTTTTGATTATCTAGTTAAGATGTATCTTGTTTTTTCCTAATTAAATTTTCTTTCTTTTCGTGGTTTTTGTCTTTTAGAGAAGAACTAAAGCGGGCCACTCATCCATTGTAATAAGACTAGCACAGTTAGTTATAGCTTGTTAAGCAAGTTATTTTCGGTTAGCAATTGCGTATAAATATGAGTGGCTTGTTTCTGTAATTGTTGAGCAAACCTATAATGAAAGCTTCGACTGAGATGTGTTTCATTCCTTTCTAATATGTCATTATATGCTTCTTCGTTCAACCTCGCTTTCCTAACCGTCCAACAAATTTCTGTTACTCATAAAAGCTTCAACCTAAAGCTCTAATGACAGCTTCAACTTCAGAACTAGTAGAATTTTCTGAACTACAAACTTCAGTCACCAAAGATCTGATCCAATCGCTGTTATTGATCAAATTACATGATAATAATAACCTTTTGTGGAATCAATAAGTGGAAGGAGGGAAACTCACACATAAACTCGTGGGGAATCAAACCAATTTCTAATTCCTTTCCTGCAATTTGGGATTCAATTTTAGAATCATATCAAATTAATTCAATTGTCAATGTCTTGGTGCACAAGGTTAATAAATGAAGGAAAAATAAAAGAGAATAATATTAAAGTTCTGCAATGACGGCTACAAAGTTGTAAGGAAGAATGATTGAACAATGACAGCTACTACTAGTCTATTTATACATAAAGTAAATTGGCACGTAGTTCCTAATAAAAGTAAACTTAATAACCAAGTTAAAAGATACAAACTAGGAAATACTAAACTTAACAACTATGCTAACAAACTCAACTTTAGAACCCCAAAAGCTAAGCATACTTCTGGACGTAACCTGAGAAGCTTCTACTTCTGATTGATTAAAACTTCTGACTAACAACCTCAGAAACTTTATTGCTTCTGAGCAACACTGCTTCTGAATGACAACATCAGAAGCTTCTGATTCTAATCAGCAACTTCTGAATATGAATTACTTTCCAACACGATGGACCATAATATTTTCCCAAGATAACATTGTATTCATCTAGATCCTACCCCATCTCTAACAATCATGAATTTTCTATTATTTTTCAAAATCTTGTCGTTTCAAATTATGAACTAGCTAGTACTAGTTCTAAGTTATCAAACTCAAATAAGATTCATAAGTCATCAATAGCACAGATTCATCATCAGAATCAGAAAATAACAATCTCATAGGTTCCTCATCAGATTCATAAACCATCAATAGCACATGTTCATCATCAGATTCTCCTCTGGATATTTTTGCTTCTTCTTTGTTTGACCAACAATCTATAGCAAAGTGGTCAAACCTATTACAACATTAACATTGAATCATTCTCTTGTCATACTTCTCCTTTTCCTTCGGATGTTTCTTCTCATCAGAATTAAAGACTTCTGACTTCTGAGAACTACCACGTCTTTTCTGCTTCTGAACCTTCTTGACAAAAGAACCCTTCAAAGCCTGCTCAACTTCCTTCTCAGAAGTTCTTTCAGTCAGACGCAACTCTTGCGCCTCTAGACTGCTTTGTAGCTCTTCTATTCTCATGGTGTCCATATCTTTAGAATGTTCAATTGCTACAACAATGTAATCAAATTGAGGAATAAGATACCTCAATATCTTCTCAATGATTACTTATATAGAAAAGATTTCTCCACAAGTTTTCATCTTATTAGTGATCAGAATCACTCTGGAGATGTACTCAGAAACCTTCTCGTTGTCCTTCATATTGAGATTCTCATATTACTTTCTGAGAGACTGAAGCTTCACCTTCTTCACTGATTCGCCACCACCATAACACCTACTCAGTGTGTCCACGCAGCCTTCGCCGTCGTTGAATCAACAATTTTCTCAAACATTTTCACATCCACATATTGATGGATGTAGAACGCCTTCTGATATTTCTTCCTCTTGTCTCTCTGTGTGTTTCTCTGCTCTTCCGTTGCGTTTTCTGCAATTGGAACATAGCCTTCGGTAACAAGCTCAAGAACATCTTGAACACCGAACAATACACGCATCTGAATCATCCAATGATTTCAGTTCTTGCCATTAAAAATAGGAAGTTTGGTACTCAGATTACCGTTTTTGTTCATCCTTAACCTTGTACAACTCACTCAAATCTCACAAACATAGTGTTTCCCAATCCCACAGAATCAGAAAATGTGATTCTGTTACAATTTTGTTCAATGATTCAACACAAATTCAAGAACTAAAATTAATTACACAATGCCTCACCGTTTCACTCGTGTTTCCCGTGAATCCAACCAGAATTCTAGATACCAATTATTGGTGTACAAGGTTAATAAATGAAGGAAAAAATAGGAGAGAACAATATTAAAGCTCTGCAATGACGGCTGCAAAGTTGTAAGGAAGAATGATTGAACAATGATTGTTACTACTGTTACTGTTATAAATGACAGCTACTACTAGTCTATTTATACACAAAGTAAGTTGTCATGTAGGCCCTAATAAAAGTAAACTTAATGACTAAGTTAAAAGGTACAAACTAGAAAGTACTAACTTAACAGCTACGTTAACAAACTCAGCTTCAGAATCCCAGAAGATAAACATACTTTTGGGCGTAACCTCGGAAGCTTCTGCTTCTGACTGATAACAACTTCTGACTAACAATCTCAGAAACTTTATTACTTCTGAGCAACAATGTTTCTGACTGACAACATCAAAAGCTTTGTTGGAAACTCACCAAAGTCTATGATGAATTTCTACCACAATGACAATTTAATTATGAGACAAACAAAGAAAGAAGACAAGACAAATAATTTCTGCAGAGTTTCTCTCTGCTCACAAACTGTGAAAACTTTCTTATTCACTTTGCAACTGTAAAATACTGTGAATGACTTGCTTGACTTGCTTACAAAAAATAGGGATTACTCCCTCTATTTATAACTGAGCTTGCACCCTAAGCCCAAAGCCAAAATTATATATTTTGTTGCTAAATCAAATCTAATCTATTCTAGACTTAAATTAAATCTATTTAAATCTAAAACAAATCTAATCTTTTAGACACTATAAATTACAATTTAACACACCACCTAATTCATTGTGTCTAAACTATCTATATTCATCATGACTCTTAGCCTTCTGAATACTTCGACTTGCACTCCCTTCGTCATGATGTCTACAATCTGATTCTTAATTCTGCGGTATTCCAAATTCATCTTCTCGTCTGCTACCTGCTCTCGAAGATAATTGAACCTCATTTCGATGTGCTTACTTCGACCATATGCTATTGGGTTCTTCGTCAAATTGATAGCTGACATGCTGTCGATCTTCATGGTAATTGCTCCATGATCTTTCCTTGTTATCTCTTCGACCAAGTTCACCATCCAAGTTGCTTGACACGCACAAAGAAAAGCAGCTATGTATTCTGCTTCACATGATGATAATGTCACTACTTGTTCCTTTCTTGAATTCCAAGCAACTGGTGCACCACCTAGCATAAACACATATCCTGCTATTGACTTTCGATCTTCAGCATCACTACACCAACTCAAATCAGTGTATCCCACTAACTTGCATTCTTTTCCTTTATCAGCTGCAGGAAACAAAATGCCATAATCGAAAGTTCCTTTGAGATACCTTAGTATCCTCTTCACCGTTGCTAGATGTGATACCTTTGGCTTATGCATGAATCTACTTACCATACCTACACTATATGCTAAGTCAGGCCTTGTATGCAAAGGTATCTCAATGATCCAATAAGTCTTCTGTATTGGGTTGGGTCTACATCATCTTCGTCTGCATCTTTCGACAGTTGCAATCTTGGTTCTGCAGGTGTCAAAGTTGAGTTGCATTCTTCCATCTCAAACCTCTTGAGAATTTATCCTGCATATCTTCTTTGATGCATCACCAAACCTCTTCTACTCTTATAGAATTCGATACCAAGGAAATATGAAATCTCACCCAAATCAGACATTTCGAATTCCTTGCTGAGATCACCTTTGAAGTCTTCGATCTCACTTTTACACCTATCTGTTATCAACAAATCATATACATAGAGACATAGTATAAGCAATTCAATCTTGATTATTCTTACATATACTTCATGTTCAGTTGTGCACTTTACAAATTCCTTCTCCCTTAGGAAACTATCAATTTTCTTATTCCAAGCCCTTGGAGCTTGTTTCATTCCATACAGGGCTTTATGCAGCTTGTACACCTTTCTTTCTTCGTCATGTTTCACAAATCCAACTGGTTGTTTAAGATAGACTTCTTCGTCTAATTGTCCATTTAAGAATGCATACTTCACGTCCATCTGACGTATGTGCCAACTGTTTATTTATGCTAGACCAACAACCAACCTGATTGTTTCGATCCTAGGAACAGGTGTAAAAACTTTATCAAAGTCTATTCCTTCTTTCTGTAGGAATCCTTTCGCCACAAGCCTTGCTTTGTGTCGAGTTACTTCACCTTTCGAATTCTTTTTCACTTTGTGTACCTGTTGTACCCCAAAATTTGCCCTCCCATATTTCTCAAAACATTTCAAGAAAAATTCACAAGTCCAACCCGGCGCGTCATATTTAGGTATTCTTTCGCCAAGATATCTCTGATAACATATTCTCAAATTCAGGTTCGATTCAAGAGTCAATTCTTTAAAGAAGGTATCCGAATGTGTGAGTTTTCTCGAAGAAATATGGTGAAAAAGGTGTGCTGAAAGTGCAGTTTTTACGCGCTAAAAAATTCATAACTTGAAGATCGTGGCTCGTTTTGAACCCGTTCCGGTGGACGAAATTCCGTCTTGACATTATCTACGTTTTCATCTCTCACGGCTGGAAGCCAATTTCGATCAGAAGGTCTTCAAAAATGTGGATTTATCAAGTATTTTCGTGCAGAAAATTTGTGACAGAAGTTTATTTGCGTCATGTTCAAAAAATCATAACTTGGTCGATTTTCATCGTATCGAGCTGGTTCCGGCGCCAAA